CCTGAAGTCTTGACTATTAGAAATATAAACCCTTGGGCCAGCGAGGCTGGACTAAGCACCTGCTTAGGCAGGTGCAGGGACCAGGGTTCAATCCCCGGTACTGCATGCTGCGCAGAGCCTGCTCCCGGGGCTCACTGAGCTGGTGATGGGTCCAGGCACGGTGGCACATGCCCGTCATCCCAGCGCTGGCGAGGCTGAAGACAGGAGGATCACTGGAGTCTGAGCTGCGTAGTGAGACCGTGTACCAAACACACCGAAAGAGAACTATCAACCCTCAGACCTTCAGAACCAGGGCACATTTGGCCTGAGGGGTCCCGCGGTGTGAGTTGAAGACTATTTGAATCACAAGACTCTAGAATGTCACTCTGATGCCTCAGAAGGTGGAAAATCAGAGTTCCAGCCTAAAATTTTAGAAATTCCCTGAATGTGAATAGCTCCTGAGCTCATCTTGAAATGAGACAGGTTCTAGGAAGAGGTGCCGCGTGCGTGCGCGCGCGGGCATGTGTCTCTGTGTGTGTGTGTGTGTGTGTGTGTGTGTGTGTGTGTGAGCGCACGCGCACGCACGGGCTCAAGAATGGAAGCCAGAGCCTTTTTTTTTTTTTTTTTTTTTTTAAGCAGGCGCTTGCTAAGTGACTAAATTGGCCTGGCTGGACTTAAACTTAATCCTCCTGCCTCAGGCTCCTTCAGTGCTAGAATTACAGGTGTGCACTGCCACACTCAGCCAAGAAGCGCTGTGAGTGTAAAGTTTACACCAGATTTCAGAGACTGAGTACAAAAACAAAGAAAAAAATATGCATATAAGCATTCAAAACATTTTTATTTATTCCTCATGCAGTGCCAGGCAGGACCCAGGCTCTCACACAGACTAAGCAAGCGCTTTGCCACACCTAAGAATTTTTAAAATATTGACCACACATTGAAGATCGGATACTGCCTTAAATCTATTGGGTTAGGGCCAGAGATATAGCTCAGCAGCTTAGCACCTGCCTGGCAAGTGCAAGGTCCTGGGTTTAATTCCTGATACCAAAAAATGAAATCTATTGAGTTAAATAAAATACAGTCCCAAAGTTAACCTGAAGTGATCTTTGTGTTCTTCTTTATGGCCTGCTGGAAAATGTAGACTGCTGTCATCTAGAGTGACCCCAGTCCAGTGAGTGTCTGGCCAAGGTCTGAAGAGCAGATGCCCAGCATGGGGTGGCACACGCCTATGATCTGGCACCTGGGAGGCTGAGGCAGGAGGGTCTCTACGAGTTTAAGTCCAGATAGGACTACATAGCCAGACCCTCTCAACAAACAAACAAACGAACAAAAAGCAGATGGCTGCTGAGGTGCAGGAGTCAGAGGCAGGGCAGGGGACTCACCCAACCGCTGGTCATCCGCTTTCCTCCCTCCCACTTCCTCTTCTGACCCTGTTGACCCAGCAAATTCCCCAAACCACAAGTTTGGCAACTGCCCGGATCTCTCAGCCAACTTCCCTCTTGGTGCCAGGCTGCTTTGCACTGGGTGGAGGCTGCTGTGGGCACCTCTGGACGAGGAGGGGCCGGTTTGAGTAACAGGTTCTGGCCCTAGTATGACCCACTGAATTACCACAGTGGCCCATCTAACACAGCCGAAACCCTTAAAAGAATAGCTTATCTTCCCAGTGACCACCTCCCCCTTCTCCAACCCAGCCCAGGGTGCAATTTCCTCTCACCTTTCCTGCCCACCCAGGAGAAACCCCAAGCAGGGGAGACCTCCAATATTTTGAAACATCCCCCTCAAACTTGGCCCCTAGCCAAAGTCCGTAAAAGCCTCAGCTTTCAGTGTCTCAGGCTAGAGGATCTACCTGACCCATCTGCCCTCCGTCCTCTCAGTGTCTTTGGAGATAACAAAGGCTTCTTTTATCTTTCCTATCTCTTCACTGCGCTGCCGAAAACCCTAACATTGAGGAGGTGGTGTTTCTTTGATTTCTTCTCAAACACATGAATGGAAATTCCCTGCCTTCCCTACACAGTCTCCCCCACACCAGGGGATGGTCCAGAACAGAGACAGCCTGTGGGCATGTGACGCATGGGGGGCACACCGGTGACCAGGCACTTGGCAGGCTGAGGCAGGAGGATCTCTAGTTGGTCTCCAGCCTGGGCAATCTAATGATTTAGCAAGACTTCTTTTCAAAGAAATTGTAAAAGGTCTGGGGATATAGTTCATCGGAAGGCCACAGGTTCAATCCACTGTACCACCACAAACAGAGGGGCTTATGGGGGCATATGCTGGGGCAAAGGGGAAGCCAGGAAAAACTTCCTGGAGGAAGAGCACCTGGAGGAGAAAGGGTGGTCTCAGATGAGAAGGGGTAGTCTTTGAAAAGCAAAGCAAGCAGCCAGGAGGGTAAAGGAGAGATGAAGCTGGCCCGAAGACAAGAAGATGAAGCTGGGGCCAAACAGAGATGGAGTAGAAAGACCCCGGATGGATCCCAGGCCTGGGCTGCTGTGGACAGTCAGCTTATCCTGGGGACAAGGACACGGGAGGAAGAGGCCAGGGAGGAGGACCCTGGGGTTAGGTAGATGGTACCCAGGAATCACAGGCAGGAAGATCGCCGCTCGAGGCCAGTTTAGGTAACAAAGTGACACCCTATCTCAAGATAACATAAAGAGGGCCAGGGAGATGGCTCAGTGGAATAAGCGCTTCCCTGGCAAGTGCAAGGGCCTGAGTTCAATCCCGGGTTCTGCAAAAAAAAAAAGATAACATAAAGAGCCCAAGCTGTAGCTCAGAGGTAGAGGTGCTCCACACAAAGGAGGCCCTGGGTTTAGTCCTCAGCACTGAGGAGGAGAGAGGGAGATGGAAGGAATGGGACTTTTTTTTTTTTTTTACATTGGTTACATGTTTAAATAATAATATTTTGGATAAAGTGGACTGAATAAAATAGGACTCATTTCATTACTGTTGACATGTTAGCTACCAACGAGAGCAACATATACAAATACATTGGATTTAGAGCATCGTTCATGCGACTATACTAACACTACCGCAGTAAACAAACAAAAATCCAATAAACCTATCTTCCAAGCCCTCCCGCCTGGCCTCAGGACCCCGGGGACCCTCTGACCACACCCAGACCGCCGAGCAGGCCACCACTATCACTGCATCAGTTTCTTCGGTGCTTGGGGTGATCTCGGCGGTGCAAGGACAGAGCCCCGGGCCCTGGGCACGCCAGGCGAGTGCCCTGCCCCGGGGCTGCACCCCGGCTCCTGCTCCTCCTTCTCACTGTGCGGCTGGCAGGCTGCAGACCGCCGCGGTCCGCACCCTCCTCTCGCCGTGCCGACGCACACCCGGGCACACGCACGGTCCCCACGCACGGTCCACGTGCAAATGACACTCTACAAGCCACACCGCATCCTCTCATTCTCTTTTATTCTCATCACACACGGTACAGTCATTTCTTTTTCTTTCTTTCTTTTTTTCTTCTTAATGTATTTAGTACAGGGTCTACAGGGTCTCACTGCGTAGATTGGACTCCAGCAGTCCTCCTGTTCTCAGCCTCCCAAGCGCGCGCCACCGCGCCCTGTCGCCCCAGGGGCGGCCCGGCTTGGCCCACCCGGGATCAGTCCCCGCGTCCCTGCGTCTGCCTAAGCAGGCGCTTTAATCCACTGAGCTAACTGGCAGGTCCCGGTGCAGTCATTTGTGAAAAACGCGGGTTAGTTACTATGGGATCCCACTGATGAATGTTCCGGAAATGACAAGATTGTCCAAACTGGGTTGCAGGGTCACAGGCGGGGACGCGGAGAGGGGATGGGCATGGCCGTGGCTACCAGAGGGGCGTCCCGGAGCCGGCGGTGGCTGCGGGGACGCCTGGAGCAGCCAGCCAGCCTGCGGCTCTGAGGCTCACTCAGCTCGGCGAATGTCAACAGTCAGGCGCGCTCTGTGCCGTTGCCATGGTGTCCGGTCGGCAGCAACTCCCAGATACAGTCCGTTCCTCCCAAAGAACAAACAAAAATAGCAGTGCGACAGAGTAACAATCTCATCTTCTCTCGCGAACCCGCTCTGGGGAGCTGCAGCCTTCCTCTGTGGTTGGCTTCCCATCGCCAAAACAACAAACAAAAAACAAAAGCGAGGCTTGTGACATCCGGAGCTGGAGGACCTTTGAGCCCAGGAGCTCAAGGGGGGACTGGGTGAGGCTCTTTCGGCCTCCAACATC